GCGACATGGAGTGGCTAGAGTAGAGTCTGAGTATGTCTGAGTAGACTTGGAAACTGCCAGAAGGAGCTATCTCATCAGGGAGTTGAAGTGAAGCACTCGAAGCAACTGCCTGCTTCCCTTCCAGGCTCCTGCACCCATGGCTGAATGAACTTCGAGGCTGCGGCTTAGGTCGCGGTCGTACGAGTTGAGTGAAAAAGAGCTTCGGCACCAAAAAACGACTTCGAACGCCCTGCTGTTTCCATGAACACAAGGTGACCTGGCTGAGTGAAGCCCATTCTGAAGGCAACTGGGAGACCCCCCCCAAGCGGTGAAGTGCCTCGGACAGAAGTGTGTTGGCTTCCACCTGGCACCATGGAGAGGATCTCAAACCGTGCCGAGGAGAGTTCGTGCTTCAAACATCCTGGGTCAGTTCACCTTGGCAGCCTTAGCACTCACCAAAACAGAACGGCCGCCAGCTGCCCCCAAGATAACAGTGTTTACCTGCTTACCTTGACTCGACGACTTCCAAGCTAAAATAATGTTCAATCATCCAGGCCGGTTCCCTGTTTGCTTACCGGTTCCAGGACGGTGCTTCACCTGCCTACCGAGCGGATCTGGATCCAAGGCTTCGGCGGCTTCCCGACGTCGCGCGTCTGTCGGTCGCCTTGAAGAAGGAGGCGGACAAGGTGTTCGGCAACCTCGCCTCCCGGTGCAGACGAGGTTGTGGAGCGAGACCGAGGCGATGGTGGCAGAGGTCCGTGAAACACACCGCTACGCGGGAAAAGAGTCACTGTTGGTATTTGCCTGGCGTAGAGAAAAGATTACATTATATATATATATACATATATATATATATTAATATGTGTATATATATATATTAATGTGTATATATATTAATATGTATATACACGCTTATAATATGATGTCAATGAAGTGAAGTTCATATATATATATATATGTTATGAGCCAAAGCCAGTCTAGTATGCATATTATGAGTATGTAAACTTTACGATGCTCACATGTCACATCTATCGCATCACATTTGGGAGGACATCTTCTCCATGCGTTCTTGGCTACCATGGCCACACACCGGAGAGCGGGGCGCGGCTACCGCGCCTCAAGCGGCCCGTTCTGACGCATGAGGTGGCCCTCAGGACGGAGCTACGAGGATATTTTAATAAAGCCTTTCAATATGTTCAATTGATGCTGCAATGGATAATACATAATAATAGGACCATATCATAGCAGATCCCTTCAGTCCCTTCCACGCCAAGTAACGATACCACTCTGCATGAAACCGCGTGATCGTGTTGGACAAGAACAAACACCCCGTTAAGCCACCGCAACCCTGGCTTCACACTCTCCGGTGTGGCTCCAGTCAAGCCTCAAAGACCAGCTTTTGCCCGGATCTGGGCGCCATGCTTTGGAGCCAAGGCCTGGAGTGGTGGGCTCTGGGTCGAACATCACGATGTTGGATTGCAGCCAAGATCAGCCAAGTCAGGCAGGCAAACAACAACTCTTATTGTGCTCTCTCGTGACATCTTGTTTTTTGGCTTGAGATGGCTAAAGTACACCTGGTAGCTTGCGACAGCAATCCAGCTGGCCCCACTTCCTGTTCAGAAACATGGCAAACCCTTCTAAACTGTCAAGCCTTGAAGAAGTTGCTGATATAACCTGCCAGCTATGGTTTTGGGGCTGGGTTTGAAGAGGTCGAGGCAACAGCCAAAAACATCCAACAACTATAATGTTAATGTTGAGGTATGTTGAGCTGTTGAATCTCATCACTCCGATTGGTCGAGGCGATGTCATTAATTAAAATTGACTATTAATTGCTGCCAGCACTCCAGCGGTACATAGCATTTTCTACAAGGAAGAGGCTGTCCAGTGTCCATAGTCTCTTTGCTGGTTGTAGTTTGCGATCCGAGGTTTGTGCCGAAACCAGCGGCAAAACACGAAGAAGCTACAAGACAAGACATCTATGATTCATGTGGCCGTCCGTGTCTTCTATAGTGTCTTCTATGAAGTACTGACTTGGATGCCAAGTCCCTTGAATCTTGCTGCATCTTGCCGCTTACTTTAGAGAAAAATGTGACATATCACTAAGGACCACACCTGTCTCGCATCTCTTGCATGTGCTTCTGGTTCCTGGTGCGCTGCTGATACTGATCCCACGCTCGCTTCTGCTGCCGCTAACATCTCTTCAAGATCTGACTGTGAGTGTTAATCTTGCGGAAGAGAAGTGCACCTACCATGGCCTGGCCCTTCCACCACCAACCAGGTGATGTGAGCTACCTACCTGTTGGCAGCCCCCACATCAAACCCTTCAACACATCTCTCTCTATCCCATCTCTCCCCTACTCTATAGGCCTGTCGTTCATGAATCTTGGACCTCGTTTTGGTGTGCCTTGGCATGCCACAACTCCGCACGAGGCGAATCACCTCAAGTTGACCCGGTTCTTCAAAACTTCCGGGCATTCACCTAGCTTCTTCCAGCTTCACCCCCGAAAGGCACCAATCACCGATCCTCATCCGATCCTCATCCGAGTTGCCAGCCATCACCTGGGTGTCCCCACTTCTCCAGGTCCCTCCGCGCGATCTCGCACGCTTTCCCCAGGCCCACGATGTGGATCACATTCTCTGTGCCTCGGTTGCGGACGGCGTGAGACGGAGTTTCCGGAGTTTCCGGAGTCACCCCGACCGCGCGGGGCTGAGCCGAATGGAAATGGGTGGGCGTCTTTCACGCGAGATGGAAATCCCCCAAGAGCCAGCACCAAACAAAAAGCAAAGGCATTGCTAATTTCTTCCCCCTCACCTGCTTTATCGGGAAGAGGGCCCAAACCCAGGCCCAGGCTGTTTCTCAATGTTTCTTGGGGGCTTCCTCAATTTGAGACAGGCCCAGTGTGGAGGTGTTCTTTACAAGTTGAGTAGTGGGGCTCTGGGATTCCCATGGCCTCTTAGCCCTCGGAGCTGTGCGGGCGTGTTTCGCTCTCTCGCCTGCCTCAACGAGGCGCCTTGATGACGAGTTGTAGGGCTAGGACCTATGACCTGATCCTATCTGATACGAAAGCCACCTGCGATCCCACACATGATTCCTGAATCTGAGCATGCAGCATCTCAGATTAGACAAGAAGCCGACGCGGCAAAAGCCACCTGCTTGAACCCAGTTGGTATCAGAACTCAATTCTTGAAGAAAGGGCAATCCAGGTCCACAGGATGAGCTGCCCACATTCACTCCACTCTCGCCGTGCCACCGGCAGGACTTGCCCCAGCTGCAAGTAGATGACACTGCCCGCACTTCCCGATCCACAACAGCCCTCCCTCCTTGCCAGGCTGCTCGCCCGGCGCCCCGACTCCTGTCCGGCACCATGGAGGAGCGGAGGCAAAGCCTCGCATGGACAGATGGATCCACTCATCCACTTGATTACCAAGCTTCTTGTTACTGGTAGCAATGCCAGGATCTACTGTAGCGATGCCCTTTGTTCCTAGTAGCTTCTTGTTACTCGGATGTGAGAGAGTGATGAATCATGGACTGTAGATTGTTGAAGTAGGGTAGGTTGGCAAAATGTTCTGAACCTCGCGAGTTTTGAAGCAGAACTAGCTGTGTGTGTGTGTGTGCGTGTGTGTCCCCAATGCTGTGGAAGTCTTCAGTTTCTATTTGCAGTTGTCTTCAGAGCTCCTAATCGGCCTTCACCTCACTGACGGCCAAATCCTGAGTCACCCTGGCTGGAACGGTGGATCGCTTGTACAAGGCCTCGGCTCGTATGCCAGTGAAAAACGGGAGAGAGAGAGAGAGAGAAAAAAATGGAACAATTGCCACGTTCCGTCCATGAATATCATGAATGATGGTAAGCTCGGAGTCTTTCTGAGCACTTGCGAGCATTCTTGGGAAGGTATTGCACTCCTTGCTGGTACTCAGACAAAGCAGGATTCTGCTTCAGAAACCTTCAGCTACGGTTCCTCCTTGCTGTTCCCAAGGTTTGAAGTATTGGAATTAGTTACCTGGCTAAGGGTGGCTCCATCACGGCAAGTATGCAATTGCAAAGATATCACATCACTGGAATGGCTTGGGAGAGCTAGCTAATGGCCAATCATATAGTAGTTCAGCAAATCACTGCCAAGAGACACCAACTCCTTTGGGCGCGTAGAGCTTGTGGCCGGCCATGGTCAACAGGTCCACATCCAACCTGCAAGTCTCACACCCACCTTCTCTCCTTTTCTTCAGTCCTCCTCTGTGACACCCAAATTGTTTTGCCTAAACACATGCGTGGGCTTGTCTTGGAACACCCCGGGGCCCCAAAAGAAAAACTCTCTGCATCCCATATTGCTGGATGTCGGTGTAATGGACTGACCATACTTCAAGAAGACCAGATTTGACAAGAACTTGCCAATATTATATATAGAGATATACACAGTATATACGTGTGATTATCAAAAACTCTGCCATCGTCAGTGTGTCCCCAGGAAGTTCCACTGGTGAACCACTTCCTGGGAGTCTTGGAGAAAGGTTTGTAGGTCATGTCATGCCCCAAGCTGATGAGCCTGTCCCGTGATGTCCTGTGTGCCAAGCATTGACCCCTTGGCATTGATGCCCCGGTTGCTCTCCGTATGCTGTGGTCAAGGGGTCAAGGGAGGTCAAGGGGACCTCTATTTGAACACTTGACAGGCACCTTCCCATGTGGCACGCGGCACGCCTCTCTCCTCGAGGCATCGCAAGAAAAGCCAAGCAGCTTGTTCACATCCACTGGCAACTTTCCCAGGCTCCTGGCAACTTCCAAACCATCCCCAACTCCACCCAACTTGCTTGCAAATTGAACCCAGACCATACAGCCATACATCTATACTGTATACTACCCCCCAAACCCAAAAAAAAATATATATTAAATATATACACATACCATGGAAACCTGAGGTACTGCATCTGGCCCTTGAGACTGCATCCGAGCGTCTGTGAGGCATCGCAGTGCACGTAGACCTCAGAGAAACACCCAGCAAGTAGGCTGCTGAAAAAATGTACCGATTTCGTTGCCACAACGGGGTATTTCACTACCTCGTCCAAGTGTTTTTCTGCTGCACCAACTCCAAACAGGGACCTTTCAAAGACCCCACGAAGCCAGAAGCTTGAGACGGCAGTCTTCTGAGATACCGCCGAGGGCCCGAACCCTGTTTGAAGCTTTCCTGCAGGAATGGCAGCATCCAATTTGATATATTGATCACTTCTAGTCTGGAGCCGGGTGTCTTTGGGCTCGACTCTATTCCGTCCATCTGGCAAAAGAACGCTGCCCAACGTGTTCGACAAGCAAATCGAAGAAAAACCTGCAAAT